CTGGGAAGGACCAACTCTGGTCTATCGTGTGTGTGTGTGTTTTTTTTTCTATATTTGCTGGAAGCTGTTGCTGCAGCTAATCTGTGGTTTTCTGGAAATTCCAAGTGCCGCGACGTAACAACTATATATCGGGCCGATGATGATTTTCCGATGAGAAGACGCGCGAGCGCAAAAAAAAAAAAAAAAAAAGAAAAAGAAAAAGAAATCAAGTCTGAGATCGTAATGGGATGGACTACTAACTTTCTCCTCGGCGTTGTTTGTCGGAGTCGATTTCATTACCGGGTGCCTGTACGCTCTAACGAGTGTTTTTTCATAATTGCTTCGTGTACTGTTAACCCTTTTTTTTCCTCCTCCTCCTCCTCCTATTGATGATTCGACACAAACAGTCCATACGCGCATACGCACTCATTTCCCCTGCCTCGATGAAAATTCCCTTGCTCGGCGCGATAAGTCGAAAAAAAGGCCTGATCCTCTGTACGGCAATCCACACCCACGCTACAACAGCAGATAAGAATTACAGTTCACGCCCCGAGATCTCGAGAGTGGCGCATCTAATTACGTGGACCGCACAACAACAAAGGCCGTGGCCTATCTCTTGCCCAAGTGCCGAGTATACCACCGCGCAATCTCTCGCTCTGAAAAAAAAAGTACTATCATCAAAAGAAAAAAATCCTTGCTCCCTCTTTTTGGGCAATTAGAGTTGCATCGCGACTAAGTAGGTGGATTGCGAGATCTCGGACCTCTTTTTTTTTTTTTTCCTGCACCGCAGGCAAATTTTCGAGTTTTCACAACTACACCTTGGACACGGGCCTAATGAGGAGTTTCTAGCCGCAGTGTAAACATGGCGAGGCCAGCGCGGTGTGCCTGTGTTGACGATGATATTTTCTTCTTCTTTTTTTTTTTTTCTGTTCAGTTGTGTCCATAATTTTAGTTGCAACTACAACTGAATGTAATGTATGTACACTGTTGGAAGCACCTACCAGACCAGCCCTTTAAGAAGCAGAAAAAAAAAAAAAAGAAAAGTTCGACAAACCACTTATGTTCAACTACGTACAACAAAAAGCAAAGCGAGCGTAATTTCGTCGTCACAGGTATAGAGCTATTTTCGCACCACCCCATCGCACCGACAGCCACGAGGACGAGGAGGTATTTATATATACATACGCGCCCGAGGCGATGACCCAGCCTCTACTGTACGTATTATACATACACACGAGCTATATACATATACATAACGTAATGCCACGCGTTAGTGCAAACATATTATTACATCCATACATATATAACAAGCGTATGGGTACACGAGCGCGAAGTAGATAATATCGCGTGCAGACTTTATCGAGCGTTGCCGGCCGGTTGCGGTGTAAGTACACGGATAGAGAGCTTCCGTACGTAGATAATATATATATATAGAGACAAGCACATCCCTACATATATATATATATACATCCGTCACCGGAACGTGTTAAACACTGCGTCCGAAGCTTTTGCACGATAGAGTGAAAATATGTGTGTATAATGTTGTATCTTAATAAGTGTAATCACGCGTGGCAGTGTCCTCGGGGGGCAGAAATTGTGTTGTCGCCCGAACTTTCTCGCCCGGAGCCGAATGAATATGTACCGAAACGAGGATATTTTTTTTTTTTCTCTCCTCCGGCGGACCTGGACGACAAAGTTGCGCGGGAAAGGTTAAACGCCGACAACGCGATCGATGGTCCCGCGAGAGAGGAATGACCCCAGGGACCAAAGGGTTCGAGTCACGCCACGGGCGCCTCATGTTTGCATAATTTCTGTTTCAAGGTTTCCGACACTGCCGAGGAGGATACGGTATACAGGGTGCGAATCGGCACTTTTTGACTTTCTTTCTTGCCCCCAATAAATTTGACAAATGCTTCTTCTCGTTGATTTTTATGTTCTATTTGATTCATTTTTTTTTTTTATAATGAAGCTGCAGCGAAACGATTGCCGAGGCGGCCTTTTAAACCGCCGATGCGCAGCCACACGCACATCCTGGAGGCGAGAGATAAGAAAGGAGGAACACCCGCGCTATGGTTGAATCAACGAAAGATAAAAACGCCGCGCACCCAAATAAAAGAAAAAAACAAGTGATGCGTCCATAGGAGAGGAGATGGGTATATACATACACAAACACGGAGATGCCGATCTCGATCGGGGAACCGCGATCGCGGCGTCTCGTTATAACTGATTAGCGATCTCTCGCTCTTTTCTTCGTATGTGCACGTATATAGACACGCGGACTATCGCTGTATCGGCGATGTCTTTATTCGAGCCGCTCGTTTCGATCTCTTTCTTTCCCGGCTTCCGGGTGAAAAGGGATGGTTTACTGTTTTCCCGAGGCGTCTCGGAGCGAGAGAAAAATCAAAAGCAAATACACTTCCGCGAGTGGTGCATGGAGAAAATAAGAAGAGGTAGCGTCAAAAGCCCCGAGACGGACGGACGCGCGCTACTGGCGCTTTAACGTGTTAGTAGGTTACGCGGATTTTCTCCTCCTCCTATATGCGTATGTATATACCAACGAGCGCTCCTTGGATACTTTTTCATGTTTTTTTTTTTTTTTTTTTTTTTTTTTTTTTTTTTTTTTTTTTTTTTTTNTTTTTTTTTTTTTTTTTTTTTTTTTTTTTTTTTTTTTTTTTTTTTCATTTCCATCTTAAAGTATGTATCTCCGTACGCGCAATTAATAACGAATCACGGCCGCGCGTATATATAGAAAAAACATTAAAACTGCATTATGCGCGCGCGCCAGTTTTCCGAGAGAGGGAAAGGCTCTCTCCTCGTTTTTTCCTCCTCCCGTGCATTTATGGTCCGATGAGAGGGAAAAAAAAAAAAGAGACGGGGTCATAATTGGCGTTCCACATAATATGGATGGCCATATAGTATACACATCGGAGAGAGGGGTACATCCAATTACAGGGAGACGCGCCCCGGTGCAGGTTTGGATAAACGTTTCAACAACTCTTTATTGTATACCTTGTGCTCGCGTTACACGGATGACTAAGAAGCGCCGCGTATACAGCTGGGCGTGAAGATGACATATATACGTGCCGTACAAATATTTGGAGGGGAATCATCAGCGCGGTGCACTTTATTGGTGGCGATCGGGACCGCGAGATTACGGGCTTTCCACTGTGTCGTTTCCCAAGCGGAACTCTTTGGGTGTGCGCGTGTTTGCGGAACTGCTCTCCGAGTCGATAGCCTAATCTGATTTACCTTTGATTCGACACGAGTGAACTATATGCACGGTTCACCAGCAATGGGGAAATATATATATATATATACGTTATACCTGCACAGGAAATTTCGGTTTGTTCCATATATGATGCTCTCGAAAATGTGGTTGAGCAATAATTGTCGACGTTGACGAAAACAACATCCACACGCATACAGCGCGTGAAATATAAAACGCGAGTGTGTATAAGGTATATATAAGGTGCGCTTCCTTGAAAGCTGTATAGCGATATAAAATATCATATTTATGCCGCTCTTGCGGAAGCGTCGAATAAATTCTCGCGATTTGTCGACTCCGGAGCTTGCCTCGAATCATTTTTCTTTGCCATCTAGGATATAAAATTTTCAACTCCACCATTACACCGGCTCTCGAGAGCTCTGAAACTCTATACGTTTGTATACAAAAGCATCGGATTTTACCTTGGTCTCGAGAGATCATCGGTAGAGGGGCCAAAAATTGCCGTAGATAAGAGAGCAACGATAGTAAAGAAAACCGTGTCTTTACGTGTCGAGTACCCTCAAGTGTACACGAGCGAGACAAACAAAAGTGTTGCAATATCAATTACGGGAGTGCTTTTCTCGGGGCCCCCTAACGCGAACCATAGCGAGCAGTGATCTCTTTAATGACGCACCCGAGGTATACGGGAACTGCATGTGCGGCTGTCGTAAATTTATCCGGTCTAATGGTCGCGGTGGAAAAATATTTTTCGCGGACAAAAAAAAAAAAGGACATCAATGCCTATAGTGTATTTCTGTGGAGGCAACTCGAGGAATGTAAATTGAATCGTTTGTCATTGCGCGTATAGGTATACAAATATGGAGAAAATGCTGCACCTGCCGTGCGCGAGCCGTCGCCGATTTTTATTCATTAATCACGCGGTATATTGTTTCCTAATGACGCGATTTTTTTAGATTACCCGGTATGAAATACGAAATACTCGGCGTTTTCGTCAATTATGATTTTTAAAAACGAGCAGTCGATGGCTGATTTGAATATTGAACGTTAAGATGAATATGCGATGCGCAAAATGATCTCACCTTCGGATGCTACGGTTTACGAGAAGCCTTCAATGCGTATATAAAGAGCGTTTACGTAAAACAATGCGAGTAAGAGCCGAAATGCGACAAAAGGTGCGAGAGATAAGCCAATGTGCGTTTATACTTGATAGGAAAACAATGAGTGGGTGTACAGAGTAAAGTGGATTGTTTTGTCTAGGGTATTTTTTGTTGTACTCTTTTATGTTGATAAATAACAAAAAAAAAAAAAAAAAAAAATGCAATGCGCAACGCGGGGACACCCCCTAAAATGGGTTAGCCCAAAAATTTCCGCGTCAAATCTCTACGTGTGACGCGCAGCATCCCAAACCGCTAATGTACTGCATATTATACACCTATAACTCCAAGGGTATTATCGAAAAAATCCTACATGTCTAAATGAAGTACATCACAGAAACGATAGCAGGAACTTAACAATCAAATCGTTTTTCTATTTTATCAGCTTTACCAAATCAAATGATTTTAAACAAAAATATTTTCACGGGCCGCAGGACGTAAGTGTGAATAATGAAAACATTGTTTATTCTCGTAGAAAATGTCATTATGATTGACGAACCAATCGATTTTGTCGCCCATACTTGTCAAATCAGCTCTACTGTCTAGAGTTATTTAAAAGAAAAAAAAAAAAAAAGATATGCGTTGTGAAGGGCAAAATTTTCAACAGAAGGGCCTCAAAAAAAGCCAAAAAACAAACGAACCTCTTTTTCCCGTATCCAACGTTGTCGAGCTCGACGTGCCTGTAAGCTGCGTAGGTAGCCATCATAGATACTCCCCCGTCAAGTCCGAAAAGCAAGGAGTTACGAAAAACAAAAAAAACAAAAAAACGAGATCACGAGAAGAAGAAATCGGCAGCCAGGAAGGGTGGGAGTGGGATGACGATTCGATTCAATCCGCAGCTCCCTGTCCTACCGCTGCAGCGATCCAGTTGGCAGGGCTCCAAAAAGGTGTCGTCCTTCCTGCTCCAGTGCTCCCGATGTACGGTATAGCAATAATACGCCGAGCGAGCTTTATCTATCCCAACCTTGGTAACGGGTGTATGACGTACAACACGTGCCCCCAAATGAAACGGCGAAGGGGGTGCACACCGACCTTGACTCCTTTGCTTGGAGTAGTAGTAATAGGAGGAGGAGGAGGATGCTGCAGCGCGCAAAATCTCCCGGTTATTGTCAAGCTCGGAAAGCTTCGACGCACGCACGCAGATGTGTGTACAGCTGACGTTCCGTTTCGCCAACCAGCTGATCCAAAGCTCGATCGGGGGTGTTGTTTTTATATATACCAAGGGACACTTGCACCCGCCGACTTTGCAGGGAGGTGTGTGTGTGTGTGGGTAATATGTTGCGAGTCGCGTGAAACCGAACGAGGAACTGACGGCTCGCGCTGGAGTCGCCGGATTATAATGGCTCTCTGGCGCTTCGCCCTTCTCCACCTCCTCTACTGCGCGCGCGCTTTCCTCTCTCTCTCTCTCTCTCTCTCTCGTTGTATATACGTGTGTATACGTGGGTACCGCTAGGCTTTTCCTCCCTTGGCTATAATGTGGGTTCCGATGGTTTCTTGCCCCCCACCATCACCACCATCCGATCGCTGTCTGTAGCACCGGCAGCTCAAGACTGTCCGTCTGTCTTACCTGTAGTGACGGAGCGGCTGTTACTACTGATGCTACCGAGCTGTACGCTCGTGTATACAATGGGACCTGATTTTGGCACATTAGCCAATGGGAATCCTATAAAGGGATGAGAGAAAGCTCGTGTGTGTTTTTTCACGGTGTCTCTTTCTTTTCGTTTCATTTGGATGCAGAAAAATTGGTATGCTAGGCGGTACATACATGTGTTTCATATTAACGAGCAATGTGGACTGCAATGATTTTCCGGAAAATCATCCCTCAGTTTTGAACGACAGCGTCGTTGTGGCAACAAAGCACACGTTTTACTTCAATGTTTACGCGTTTATGAATCAATATATGTATAATATATAATTGTGTACTCATGCGTCAGATGTACGAATAGAGGAACCACAATGTTATCGTCACAATATACGTACGCCTGTGCCGTCAGCGGCTGAATTGCTGAAAAACATATATCTTATTGACTCGAAAAAGGTCTTATCTCAAGATAATATTGAAACGAACTCGTTTTAAAATGCCTACAATTGTATTTACTTATATTATACATATTCTTGCCAATATTGTTCTTTATTTAGTTGACAATGAGCAACGACCGGTCAATTTTATCAACAAAAGAAGAAAAACCCCAATTCACGGAATATGCGATGTATTTAAAAACACTTGTTTACGGATTAACAGTGCTGATCCTTCAATAAATCATCTTACACGTAATCAATCAATTAAATCAACCACCACATCTTACTTAACTAAATATAATAATAAACCAAGGGAAAACAACGTAGCGTGTCCAATCCGCGATAATAGACGGACATTGAGGCTGCGAGCAAGCTCGCGTGCGAGACAAGAGGTATGCGATACACTTAACAACCGTCGCTAATTTGTAATTCATATGTACACATGTACCCTTCTCTCTCCCTTACAGCTCTCGTCTATATGTATATTATATATATATATATATATATATAGCCATTGGCATGCTCGGCAATTACAATTGCAATCGTAATGGCGCTAACTGTACACTCTCTCTCCATGTGGTATTAGAAATACCATGGGCTTTTAAAAATACACCTTATACCTACTTGCATATATGTAAGCGTGCAGTGGGCAACAATTGGAGGCGCAATCTTCTTCGGTATTGTTCTCTTTGATTTTTTGCGCCTCTTCCACATATAATACGTGTATATTTATAGGTGCACTGTAATAGTATATTCGGTGGCGTCAAGGGGTGAAACGCGCAACTATGTTATAAATCGTGCATGTGCCGTGTGGTATACAATAAGAAACCAGCTGCCGCGGCGCGAGTTAAGTGTTATTGCGCCGTTAATTATCATCGACCCAGTGACTTTGGGAAATTTCGTCTTTGTAGCTTTGCGATGCGTTAAATGACTGCACGCTACAGCTGTAGTTTATATATACTCAAGGCTCCAACTGTAAGGTAACGGACAGCCTGGAAAAGTATTATTCATCCAAGCCAATTGTTGCTCTCGTTGTTATATTTAAACGAGACAAAAAATCTGTGCTAAAAACGTACGGTAGGGGAGTGAGGGAATGCCGACGTTATACTGTTCGATCCATAACTTATATGCGATACATTGTATAATCGGGTAACGGAACAGAAAAAAAAAAAAAAAAGTGTATACGCTCGCTGCTTTTGAAAATCAATTGAGATCAGAGACACGCGTGGTGACACTCGAGGGCGAAAAAAGGATTTTTAAGAGCCGCCAGCTGAACCAGATCTACCTGATTAATTACCGGCAGGCTTGGTAATCCCAATTGATTGGTCGATCGGAGATTTATTTGACCTTGGCATTATAGGTCTTGAACTTTTTGCGAGTTTAATTTTTTTGATTAATAAGTAAAAAAAAAAAAAAAAGTTTTACATTATACCCAGGGATGACAATTCCAAATTCCAAAAGTGTCGCGAACGGTGTCGGTTTTCCAACTCCCGCGCGTGTTTTATTCGGTGGGTGATAAAATAATACACACGCTAAATATACGATACGTCCGCGTACACCATAAATCCCAAAACCGGATTGCGATACTTGTAGATTCACCGTCTTCGCACGAATATATATGTTATACGGTATACACACAAGCGAAACGAATGTCTCGAGATCTCTAATGTATGGATTATCGGGGCTTTTAAATTTGCGCGGTAATAACTCGACAAAATGATTTTCAACCGCATCAGCCATTCGTTAAACCGACGCCTGATAATGTTCCTCTGCGTCAATAAAATAAAACAAATAATATACTCGTTTCATTTGATGGGAAATTGAATGGAAATATCTAGGTAATCGAGGGAAATGAGGATTTACCCTCGGTAAAAATCATCGAATCGTAAATATTTACGGCGTGAAAACACAGATTTGTATACACGCTTTATCTCTCGTGCCGGGGGCAGAGGTTTTCTTTCAAAGTACATATAGGTTCAATTTGCATTTTACCAAACAGCCATCGATAAGAAAAATTAAAGAAAAAAAAATCCGGCTCTTTGGCTATTACATTCAACAAACATACAGCTGTGCGTATAAACTCTACAAATAATAATAACAATACGTGGAAAAAAAAAACTAAAAAAAAATTTTGGCCCCCGGTCATACGTGCAGAACGTAAAGTTAATGTTTTCAACATGAGATAAATATATAATTTACCCTATAAATTAAACATGAGAAGGTGTAGATAAATATAACTGTTATCAAGTAGCATATCATAATGTCTGCAATTGTAAGGGGTTTTTCCAATAATCCATGCAGTGATGGGGTACAATAGTATCATGTCAGGCAGCATCCCGGAATCTCTATATAATACGTCAAAGCAAAAGCAAGGATTCATCAGAAACGACAACAACGCGAGATTATGTCATTCAATATACTTTTGTTACTTTACGTGATACACGCAAATGTAAGTTCCTGCAGCAAAATGTAAATTCGCGAAAGCTCAAACGTCGATATCGCGACGGCAACGTCAGAGTGGCTGCTGCTCACCTTAATCAATACGGCGACGCCGACGCTCTACGTTGGCGGAAGGAAAGGGAGAAAAAGAGCTGGGGAACCCTGCACAGATGATCGCGTTCCCCTGCGTGTATATAGGCACGCGTGCAAACTCTCCCTCATTCGTACCTATACGTGCATACAAACTGCAGCGAAGGGATCGAAGACTGAGCTTTTATACTGTGTACATGGGTAGACTCTCTCTTTCTTTTTACTAGACAAAGAGCCCGAGTCTATATCTTGCTCTCTCAGACTACGTTGGCTTCTTTTGTTTTTCCATACCTGTACAGGCAAGAGAAAGGGAAGAAAAAAAAGTCAAAGAGCTGAGCGCGACCGATCTTTTTTTTTTTGACGAATGAGGGTGAATAAATTAGTTTTTCTTCTTAGGGTACAGTATCCATGTACATCACAATTATTGACACAAGCATAAAGAAAAATCACAATTTTATTGGCTCGTGCTGTGTGTGGTTTAAACTTGATGTTACTGAATTTTATGTTATTTCTTAAAAATTTACTTGGAAGCAGTGCTGAAAATATCTCTATTTAATGAGAAGTTTTAAATGAGCTCTGGTACTTGCATGCTCGTTAAAAAAAAAAAGAAAAAAATGAGATTGCACTTGAGGAAGACGGAGAAACAGGAGCAAAGAAATATAGACCTTACAACGAGTGCGCGGGTAAAAATAGTACACATTTCTATTTCCTCGCGTAAAAGTACGTTCCGCTTGATGCACACAAATATTCTATGAATTTCAATTTTTTCAACCCCCTCCCCTTTTTTTGTTTATAAATCATTTTCTTGTATCACCGTTATGATCCATAAATAGCGACTGTGTTCTAATCCAAAACACAAATACAATGGGAAGATACGGGAAGATAAGAAGAAAAAAAATAATAAAACCGACTCATCGTGACTGAAAAAAAAAAAAATTTACTCCAAAGCTACATCAGATTAAGCTGGGGCACACAGCCAAATAATATATTCACACACCCGTCACTAATTGCGAGGGATTACTGTAACATTACAAGTGTAAAAAACGTCCGTCGGAGGAAATTAGGTATGTAAATGAAATTAAATAAAAATAGACGGGAGAAAGTGATCCTCGGTTCTAATTATACGCAACATCCTCCGAAGCGCGTCTCATCAATGGCTACAGTATACGTTGACCACACGGTTCTTTCATGTATACCTATCGAATGTAGAAAAAAAAAAAAAAAAAAAAAAAAAAAAAAAAAAAAAAAAAAAAAAAAAAAAAAAAA